GATAAGTCGGGGGGGGGATAAGTCCCTTCGTTTGTTTATGTTTTGATACATTACACATGTTATAACATGAAGTATTGGCATTTTACAACAATATTTTATCGAACATGGCGATTGAAATGAGCGAAACTTTATATACACGCGTAAAAATCATCATGTTGATGCAAGTTGTTCAAAACAGTTCAAAATATTGTTAACAAGTTGTTGAACCATCAACATTGTTGCAACTTGTTGACAATCATGTTAACAACTTGCAACAGTACTGATGGTTGAACAACTTGTTAACAATATTGTTCACGGGGTGCTGCACAACATTGTTCACTCCTGTTTGAACAACGCCGAACAACCTGATCAATTTTTACCCGTGTAGTTCACTTGTTTGTGTGGTGGTGCCTGCTTTTTATAAGAAATATAGAAACTTTTGACTTGTACAAGTTTGAATAATTTTCCTTTTGAACCGCATAGCGTGATAAACACGCCGAATCATGCATGAAGTATGATCAACCGACGAATATGAATTGCTCAATGCCCGATTGCTCTTTACTCAACAACAAGCTGACAATATGGAGTACAGAACAGTAAGTTTAATGGTTTATATGTTGTTTGTTGTTGATAAATTCTAGTCTGCATGTTTTTGCATGGATTAACGATATATGAGAGCTTATCTTTCGTAAATACTGCACAAAATATATACCGCATTTGAATTGTTAGTAGATATATTTTCATCTACAATTTATAAAATTGATATACGAGTTGGACAATATTTTAAACCAACTGCATGTCCTGGTTATATATAGCTAAATTCTTAAAGCATATATAATTATTTTATTTGCAAAGATTGAAATGGTGAACAAAACAAGTTTTGACTTTTTTCCCCATTGCTAGCAGCAGCCTTGTCTTTGCCATTTCTCATGCTATTGTAAATTATGCAATTAACCATGCTTCCATGCATTAGGACACTTTCTCAAACATCATAAAGGCAGATTGCGATTGGGACAAGCGGTTAATAGCATGAAGCATGAAGATCTCTGAAAGAGGCAAACCTATAGTCTGACTGCATTCTTTAATTTTGAGCCTTTCTATGCATGACAGGATTTAGTGTAAGATGTAAATGTTCAAGACTATCTGTGGAGAAAACATCGAATGATAAAGCTAATGGTGAAATTCAAACGGGTTGCTGACTGTAATGAGTGCCGCTGAGAGGGGGGGGGGGATTTTGGGCTTGGGAGTGATGGGACCCCAGATTGATGGGACCTCAGATGAAAGGGACCCCCCCCCCCCAAAGTCCCTTAAATTTTCTTGATACAAGATTGCTTAACCAATAATATAAATCCTAGCTGTGTCAGTGCTGGATAAATGATAATGCAATAAAGTGCAATATATTATAAAACACTGCTTCTCCTGTTTTACAATTATGACATAGGGACCCGTGGGAAAGTTTTTCCCTGTACCCCACACAACCTCTCGGTGTCCCGGACTGTTACCACCACCAAGTTCAACAATCAGATGGAAATCTTCATAGCTGGGGCTACTGTATACATTTTGTACCCATACCAACACAAGAAGGAATAAGTGTTTTTCAAAATGAAGGTGATATTGCATAATTATTAAGAGGACAAGACTGAACTCTATCAAGAACTCCCATCAAGAACCCCCATCAAGAACACTGTAATTCAAACAAAATGTTTTTGGCACAAATGTTCTGAAACAATAATTGCCAGGCATTATCGAGAAGATGTTCTTGTTTTAAATAATAACATAAACATGCATGCAAAACATCTGACATGCAGCATACAAACAGGATGCTATATGACAATGTCATAGCTACTGTGCCTTACCATAGATCCTCTAGCTATTGATATGGGGGGGGGGGGTGTAATACATTTCAGTTTTAGAAAGGTGGGTGAGGCCGTGGGGACTTACATCTATTTTAGAGGGGGGAAACTAGGAGATTTATGGCAGATGAAATAATTGAAGGTTGTTGCCTAGTCAACATTTGATTTCACTATTGTATGCTGGATACACTTCTTACTAGAATATCATGGTATAAAATAATATAATGTACAATGTCAGCTAGTGTTAATAATTTAATTAATGTCATGATAATGACTATATACCTCATGCTACTATGTATCAGCTTACAGTATGAAAGTTTTCCAATACTAAAATAAAACTTTGCATGCATATACAAAAATTTATCTAGCTTGAAAGTTCGATAATTTTATACAACAATCATGCTATGTGAAATGACATACAATGTTAATATAAAGATTTATATTCAGATATCTGGTTATAGATTACAAACAATTGTATATAGTAAAATAAATGTACAAATAAAAATAAAGTTATGAAGCCGTCTTGAATAATAGCGCATCAATAAAAATATTAACAGTAAATTGTAGTTATGGTTTCAAATCTCTTGACTTTCTTTGCCGGGGACGAATATTCGATCAGATCTGATAAATAAATATTAAATACATAGTCAGCATATAAATCCAATGCAATAGAATCCCAGCATAGAATTTCTGACCAAAATTACTATTTAACAACAGTTAAAACCCAAGGATAAACAAAACATTTACCTGAATATAATAGACATCGTAGCAGACAACAACACATGTCGATTTGATCACAGCGTGCTGCACTGAATATCGCACAAACGCACTTTTAGGGCAGCTTTGTTGGCATAATATTCTTTCCGTGTTCTCTTCTTGTTTTATATGTTTCAATAATTTACTAATAGGTGGGTGGATTTGATTTCATAAAAGTCGCAAATTTGTTGTAACCTTTTCGAATTCTATATAAATATTTTACATTCACTCCTCATCACCTCATGTGGAAATGGAATATAAACATCGCGTGTGTATATCGCCAATTATGGGACTGGAAACGAGAGGTTCATTTCCGGTGGAGTCCCCTGTAAACAAACGCCGGGCACATGCGCAGAAGGGACTTATCCCCCTCTTTAATATCTAATATAGACGAACACGTGGCTGAAAGAATAAAGAAGCGTAGGAGAAACTTCCACAATCAAGCCATCAGAAAATGTGAGAGATGCACTAGTAAGGAAAAAGTTGAGGAGTCAGGATACACAGTATGCACCAACTGTGGTCAGGTTATGGATGCACACCTCTCTGACTACGTCGGCTATGAGTACAACAAGGACGACTATCTAAAGCAAAGAAGTAAGCACTGTAGGGTAAGGTGGTTCAACAGACTCATGAGGACTTACGTACACAGCTCCCACTGGCAGCTGGTCTCACACAACTTCCAGGAGATAGTAAGGTGTATTGAAAGAAATAATTTATTAGCGGGTAGGAATATGGTAAAGTATAGCTTCTACTTGGTAAGGATTTGCAGTAAGAATGGTGTGAAAACCTGCAGAACACCAATTCCTGACCTGAAAACATCAAAATCCCTAGACAATCTAGAAGACAGACTATTCGGTGTGGTCTACCCAGAACTAGGTTGGTCAGACTCAGGGTGCGCCTACTACGAAAAGTGGAAAATGAGAAAAGTAAAAAAAAAACATACAGGCAGAAAAAACTTCCGACTTAAAGAGAAAAATCCTAAGTAAAAGTATAGTGGAAAATGATGACTAGTAAAAATGCTGAGTCAGCGTTTTTTCCCGTAAGCGAAAAAAATGACCTTGACTTAAAGAGAAAAATCCTAAGTAAAAGTATAGTGGAAAAAATGTCAGACAATACGCGAACCAACCAGGAGCGGGACGAGGTCATAGCTGGACTGACAGAGGAGGTTGGGGCACTGAAAGCTGAACTGAAATACTGCAGGAATAAGTCGGATAACCTGGAGAAGATAGTTAGTGGAGAAGCACCGCCCATCCCACTAAAGAGGCACAACTTCAGAGTAAAGAAGGAACCGAACTCAGAGAAGACAGTTAGCGGTGAAGCACCACCCCTCCCACCGAAGAAACCCGATGAAGAAGCTAGAAAAACCGTGAAGGAAGTTGTTGAACACTATGAGAACATTTCCAACGGCGACAAGGCAACGGTGAATCGGTTGAAAACAGCCCTCAAGGGAAGTACCAAGTCCTTCTGGATCGGTATAGTCAACAACGACCCCCAGTGGCAAATGATTGGAACAAGGGAGGTAATGGAAGACCTAATCCTACAGCAGCTGCTAGAGCTTGGCGGACTTAAGTTCTCTGAAGTGTTGAAGGTTAAAATGGTAAAGGGAATGGCGTCCGACTCCAACAAAGAAGAAGGGGTTTTCTTCTTCAACTCCTACACATCAACGATAACTGAAGACAGAGCAGTACCTGAGAGCGTCAGGAAGAACACTGAGGTGATAGTTGCTAGAATCTCTAACTTTCAGGAAAGAGGAAGCAACTGGCGGGTAGGGACCCTTGATAAGCCACTATGTAAACGTAACGAAATACTCACCTCTCAGTGGGAAGTCATACATTAAGCTTGACACCAAACTCAACAACTCAAGGAAGGGTCTGGTCAACATCAAGAACAACGACAATGAGTGTTTCAGATGGTGTCACGTAAGACACCTTAACCCTCAGGAAAAGGACCCACAGAGAATAAAGAAAAGCGACAGAAAGCTGGTGAAGAGTCTCGACTACAGTGGTGTAACTTTTCCAGTTGGAACCAAAGACATACTGAAAATAGAGAGACAGAATAGGATAAGGGTGTCAGTGTTTGGATACTCCGACTCAAGACAGTTCTTCACCATACACGTGTCGACTGAGAAGTTCGACGACCACATGGAACTCCTAATGATATCTAATGAGACAACAAACCACTATGTACTAATAAAGGACTTCAACAGGATGATGTTCAGTGTAAGCAAAAACAGGTGTAAGAAACACTTCTGCATGTACTGCCTCCAGTCGTTCACAACTGAGGATATACTCAACAAGCACACTGAAATCTGTATGGATGTGAATGGAAAACAAACGGTAACCATGCCTGGGATAAACTCATTCATAAAATTCAAGAACTTCCACAGGCAGCTGCCAGTTCCATTTACAATATATGCCGATTTCGAGGCTATCCTGGAAAAGGTCAACGGAGAAAGCCCAGACGAGCTTGAATCATACACTCATAAGTACCACAACCACACATGTTGCGGCTATGGGTATAAGGTTGTGTGTCACTTCGATGACAGTTACTCTAAACCCTACAAGCACCACAGGGGAAAGGACTCAATCAACCACTTCATAAAAAGTATGCTGGAAGAGTCGAGACTCTGCAGGGAAGTGATAAAAGGAGTCTTCAATGTAGAGATGAAATTATCGAAAGAAGACCTGATAAACTTCGAGAAGGCAGACAAGTGTTCCATCTGTGGGGTTGAGTATAAGGATGAAGACATAAAAGTAAGAGACCACTGCCACGCAACAGGCAAATACAGAGGGTCAGCACACAAAGCCTGCAATTTAAACTTCAGGATGGTTGAGAAAGTACCGGTTGTGTTCCACAATCTCAGAGGTTATGATAGCCACCTGATAATGCAGGAAATAGGTAAGTTCGATATGAGGATAAGTGTTATCCCCAACAACACGGAGAAGTACATGGCTTTCACATTGGGGAGAAACTTGGTCTTCATAGATTCATTCCAATTCATGGATAGAAGTCTGGCTAACCTTGCTAGCTACCTACCAGACAACCTCTTTCACCATGTCTCAAAAGAGTTCATGGGAAAGGAACTAAAGTTAGCAAAGCAGAAGGGAGTTTACCCATATGAGTACATGGACTCATTTGAAAAATTCGAGGAGGAAAAACTTCCTGAAAAGTCAGACTTCCATAGTACCATGAACAACTCAGACATCAGCGACGAAGACTACGAAAGAGCAAAAACAGTGTGGAAAGTGTTTGGAATGAAGAACATGGGTGACTACCACGATCTGTATCTGAAGACTGATGTTCTGATACTAGCTGATGTGTTTGAGAACTTCAGGAAAGAATGCCTTGAACACTATAAGTTGGACCCATGCCACTACTTCTCATCCCCAGGTCTTAGCTGGGACTCAATGTTAAAAATGACCGGAGTAAAACTGGAGCTAATGTCAGACGTTGACATGTTTCAGTTCATAGAGAGAGGAATGAGGGGTGGAGTGTCATACATTGCCCACAGACACTCAGAAGCAAACAACAAACATATGAGTGACTACGATGAGGAAAAGTCGAACAAGCATATAATCTACCTGGACGCCAACAACTTGTATGGCTGGGCTATGAGTCAGAACTTACCAACCGGTGGATTCAGGTGGATAACACTGAGGAATAAGGAGAGGCTAGACCATGAAAAGGTACCAGACAACACAGGCCTAATACTTGAGGTCGACCTTGAGTATCCGAAGGAACTTCACGACCTCCACAATGGGTACCCACTAGCACCAGAAAGAATGATGATAGAGGACAGCATGCTATCGGGGTACTGTAGGGAGGTGAAGGAGAAATTCAACCTGACGTCTGGGAACATCCACAAACTAATCACAAACTTGAATGGAAAGAAAAACTATGTGGTTCACTACAAGAACCTGATGTTATACAAGAAGCTCGGACTCAAAGTCACTAAGATACACAAGGCGTTGAAATTCAATCAGTCGCCCTGGTTGAAGGAGTACATTGACTTTAATACCAACATGAGGAAGGAGTCAAAGAACGACTTCGAAAAGAACTTCTTCAAACTAATGAATAACTCGGTATTCGGAAAGACGATGGAAAATCTTAGGAAAAGAGTAGACATACAACTCGTTAGCAACCCTAAGAGGTTGGTAAAAATATCCTCAAAACCAACCTTTGTTAGCACTAAGATATTCAATGAGAACCTGGCCGCAGTTAGAAGAATAAAAGAGAACTTGACCCTAAACAAACCAGCTTACGTTGGAATGTGTATATTAGACCTGTCAAAAACCCTGATGTATGACTTCCACTACAACTTCATCAAGAAGAGATATGATGAAAGAGCCAGGTTACTATTCACCGACACCGACAGTCTAATGTATGAAATAAAGACAGACGACATCTATGAGGATCTCTTCGAGAGTAAAGAAATGTTTGATAATAGTGACTACCCTAAAGAGTCAAAATTCTATTTCAGTGAAAACAAAAAAGCAATAGGAAAAATGAAGGACGAGGCAGCTGGAGTACCAATAACAGAATTCGTTGGACTGAGAAGTAAAATGTACAGCTACACTAAGGAAGGTGGGGGTGGTGGAAAACTGCGAAGGGTGTGAAGAAATCAGTAGTAGAACACAATATTGAACACAAGAACTACAGGGACGTTTTGAAAGGTGGAACTCAACTACATCATAAAATGCAGACCATTAGAAGTGTTGGGCACAAACTAGGATCATACGAGATAAACAAGGTGTCACTGAGTTGCTACGACGACAAAAGATATATTTTACCTGACGGAGTCGAGAGTCTGGCGTATGGTCACTGGAGAATAGCTGAGATTGAAGGGGGAGAGTAAGAACAACGGTGACGTTCGTGGTATATATAATACTGCCTCCAAGCCTGACTATAGAACTAGAAAATCAACTTGTAGAGCTTGGGGGTACGGGCGCATTCTCTAGAGGGTCGTAGTCGGGTGATTCTAGTCAATAGTAGTGTACAAAATGGGGGTACCAGCGCATTCTGGCCCCTCAAAAAAAAAATCTCGATTCAAGAGCAGTTTTCAGACGGATGTAAGTGGGTGTTTAGACGGTTGTAAGTGGGTGACTCGAAGAGGTGATTCGAGTTAGTAAATTGTGAACAAGCCTCGAAACCAAGACTAGAAAATCAACTTGTAGAGACTGGGGGTACGAGCGCATTCTGAAATTCTCATGATTTTCTCGAAGAAATTTTCATTTTTATGGTTCAGGATTCGAAGAATGAGCTGGAAATTGGTGGTTGAATCACTGGGGAAGGATATGTTTACCACCATATTGGATGATACAATACCAGCGCATTTTGCGAAACTGAAAAAGTAGTTATTACGGTTTAATCTGAAATGAAAATGTGATGCTCCTGGTAAAAAACAGGTGAAAACGAATTTTGTTGATTGATCAGCCCGTTTTTAATAGACTTTTTACTCGTAGACATGATTTACGATGGTCACGTCGGTGCTCTGTGAGAGAAAAGTATGGTGTGCGCCGAGGTCTAGAAGACAGTGGCTCTAGAATGATGTTTTCTTCCCGGCTGGGGGGTTTGTGAGAGAGGAAGATGCTCTTGAATCGATGGTACCCCCATTTTGTACACTACTTTCCTCCACCAATAATGAGTCATCAGCAAATAGAAAACAGTCAGATGAAACATTAGTTGCAATATCATTGATATATATTAAAAACAAAAGAGGGCCAAGTACAGATCCCTGTGGACCCCAGCTTTAACATTTTTCCATTCAGAACTTCGATTATAACACGTTGCTGCCTTCCAGTTAAATAACTTTCAAACCAAAGTAACAATGAGCCGTTTATTCCAATACTCCTTAATTTAGCAATTAGGCCTTTGTGCCAGACTCTATCAAATGCCTTGGAAATATCAAGAAAGACAGCTCTTACTTCGTTACCCCTCTCTAAAGCATTATAAATCTTGTTCACAATGTAAATTAACTGCATAACTGTAGAATCACAAGGACGAAACCAGACTGAAAGCGATAAAAAAATCCACAGTTTTCGAGAAAATTATATAATCTCATAAACACAATTTTCTCGCAAATTTTGGATAAATTGACTAATAATGATACAGGGCGATAATTTCGCATTGGCAAATTTCCAAGCGTTTGGATATTGGCCAAGGCGAGTTTAAGTTATGTGCCTTTATGAGTTTATAATCATTTCCCAAGTTTGTTTATACCAAATTGCTTACAAAAGAATTAAAAACTCTTGACAAAATGCAGTTGAAATATAAAGAAAGCGATTTTGTCATGCGTATAATAAATAAATAATCACATGGGCAAGTCGTGCAATTAATGATTAACACTGCTCGTGATATTTGAAAAATGTGCCAAATTGCACTCGCCTCGGCGGCTCGTGCAATTTTGGCACATTTTTCAAATATCACTCGAAGTGTTAATCATTAATTGCACTCCTTCCCGTGTGATTACCTATACTAATTATAACTAGCAAGCCATATTATGGTAATTTTGATCCTACTATTGATCCTCATTAATTTGTTTACTACATACTATGGTAATTTTGATCCTGCCAATGCTATAAAAGCTAGACATTGTTAAATTGTAATATAAACTGATGAAGGCAGAACTGCCGAAACGTTTTTAACTTTTAAGCTTTTATTTTAGTATGTTTTAGTATTTTTTAATAAATTGATGGTCGAAGTTGCATAGTCTCTGATATTTAAATTGATTGTTATATATATATACGACAGTACATGCTGTGAATCCTATTTGGATCCTTCGCCCTCGAGGAGACTTCGTTTGGCATTACCATACCTAATATCAAAGTTTATTTTAAAAATTACTTCGCCAGTGAACCCGTATAAGACGAGTCGTTTTTTAAGCCATTTAAAGCACAAATGTTATAGCTCAGTGGTAAATACGTTATGCATTGCTCTGTCCAATCAAACTCGGGTGGTTTGAAGCTTGGAACCTCAACGGAAATAGATTCACATGCATATGCCAATTCATTTAATTATTGTGACGTCATCTAAGATTGATATAAAACACCCATGCATTGCTTTCTGCGTCATTTGTCGACAGTCTTGTAACGGATCATAGCTGCCTGATCTGCTGCGGAAAATATGTCGATTACTTCTATCAGATCCAAACTTTTCGTTGTTCTTGTTTCTTATATTTTACCACAACATATAAATGGAGAATTTCAACAACAATTTTATCACAAAATTCTGAAAGGTAAGTGGTCATGTATTTTTTACTCAAAATTTTCCCAGTTTTAATTTCTGTATCTTAACCGAAAGGTGAAAATAAAAATTAGAGAATTGGCCAGAGAGCGTTTTTAATTTTGTAGGAAGTATAATCCTGGCCGCACATGTATGTCAGAAGGTGTGTTTTAATTCGCAAGAAAAATAGCCGTGTTTCAGTAAATAAATGTTGCCATTACTAAAGACGATATTAAGCTTATTAATTAATGTGCTTGGAAACATATCGCCAGCATGTGCATTTTTTTTCAATTATACTTTATTTAATATTCACATTGAGAATTTGTACAAAAAGATATGTTCGGGAATTGGTGCCTTAAGAAGAATTAAACCTTTTGTTCCTTTGCGTTCCTTAAAGATGCTATATAAATCACTGATTCAGCCATGTTTTGATTAATGCTCCCCTTTGTGGGATACATGCGGGAAGGTCCATAAAGACAAATTACATGCAGGTGCTCCAAAATAGAGCGGCGCGAGTTATAACAGGAGCAAGATTTGATGTCAACTCGGCAAATGTATAGGAGGATCTGCAATGGCCCACGCTCGATGTAGGACGTCATAGGCTGAAGAGCGTTTTGATGTACAAAATTCTTAATGAGCAGTCCGCTCCAAGTCTGAGAGAAAAATTTATAAAAATTAAAGAACTTAATAGAGAATATAATCTTCGAAGTAATGATACTGATCTAGCACTTCCAAAATCTAAAACAAACTATCTTAAACGAAGTTTTAAGTATAGTGGTGCAATGCTGTGGAATAGGTTTCCTTCTGAGGCGAAAAAGGCATCATCGCTTTACCAATTTAAATGCAGTATGTCACCGGAGACTAGAAGATAGTTTGTAAGTATAACACGCCCCATCTGAAAATCAACTCATTGTATTTTTACAAATATGTTGTGTATGGCCAGCGTGGTTAAATAAATTTTTTAATAAGTTTAAGTATAAGTAAGTTATATTGCTAAAAAGATCAAAGCTAGACAGGTAATCCCAACCTCGTACCCAGGATCTTTCAGAGTAAAGCGAATTCTTGCGCAAGAAAGATATCGCCTGCATGATTGAAAATTAAAACAAATGTTGAAAACAATATATTACAGAAGATGACCTTCGCAATGATGCATGACGGCAGGTGAAACACAGATGACGCCATGACGTCGAACAAAGAAGTAGCCCGCGAACGTGTTTAAAAAGCCGCTTAAACGTGTTTTACAGCTTATCAAGCGCGACAAAAAGAGATTTACATACCATTTGATCCAGTTCGAAAGTAGTACAAAGCTCGACCAGATCTAAAGCAAAAACAATTTAGTAAATAATTTAGTGACGTACGACGCGTGTGTAGCAGGTATAGGGACTATAGTAAACACTAGCGGGTGGCTTTTTACAATCAATGCTGTTTTTGTCATTTAGTTTTTATTTAGATTTCAATTTTTATCACCTCTGCTTGAAAAACTATCCGTCACGGCTTGGGATGCTAGCGTCTAAAACTCCTGCTAGACTTTTAATTACTCATTTCTTTTCTGCTATATGATTAATTCCATTTCCATTGATACCGTCTCGTTGTCGACTTCCTTGTGTCTAATTATTTAAATTTTGAATATAGCTAAAATTTCTAGATGAGTTAAGATAGTTAAATAACGCAAAATTTAGTTTAAATCTTTCAGTTCTAATTGATCATAGATGGAAAGTAGCATGGGGAAGAGGGGTTCTGCGACCGGTGGAGCAGGGGGGCACTACAGCTCCATTCATCACGTCATCGTAGTATCATTTCGTATTGGTCATATGCAATAATAATTTTATTAAGTAAGCATTGGCCATTATTACATGTTGTTTCAGCAGGGGGGGGACCATATCATTAAAAATTCAGGTCGCTGTTAATGTTGTTGCTATGCGTTTCTGCTAGGTACAGAAACAAATAATATAAAGTTACGTTACTTTAAACCAAATGGAGGCAAAAACGATGGTTTTACAAGCATATTTTCAAAATAAAGTTTTAAATAAATCGAATTTATTGAGAGAACCAAATTCGTTAGAAATATAAATATTCTAATGGCAGCGTTGGCAGGTAATCCCCACGGGGATTAAAGCAATACGAATTTGGGGATTAAGCCAATACGAATTTGCATAACCAATAGAATGCTAATGTGTAATGGATATTATTACGGGCTGTCGTGGGCATGTTCAGGTGAAGAGTAAAAAGTAATCGCTTTTTTAATTAGCGTAGTAAGTTGCAACAGATCATAAGAAAGCTTATCAAGAATACTTGAAGGAAAAAACTTTTAGAACAGTCTTAGTTGTAATATATTTTGCCATAAAAATAAATATGTTTTTATCAAATATGCGGTTGTTATAGGCCTTGCTATGTGTTACCAGTCATTTATTAGCGACGCTTGGGTGCATGCATATATTAGTGTACAAAATATTTGTCCATGAATCAGGCTGGCGTGTAAGGCAAATCTCGCGGGCGGGCGGGAAAGAGCGTGCTTTGTATGCAAAAGTTTGCACAAGATTTCAGTTTTAAAGTACATTTATTTTTTTCAAAACGTTTTACAAAATTTAGTACGGTCTACTTCTAAGAGCATAAAGTTTGAGTGTTTTTTAAACAATTCTCGTATTCTTGGCCATCTTCTGGGGATAACTTCGCTACGTGCTCGGGTTTCATAGGGATATATTTTGGTATGTCACAATAAACATGTTTTAAACTTTGCAAATGTGGTGTCGTTATATGTTGCTATAGACTAATTAGGCGACAAGGAGATGATTAAGGGATTAGACAAACAAAAATTTACATAACTAAGTGTATCCCAATGGATAGATAAGGATTATTTATTACGAAGGTGTACGCCTTAAAATCAGGCGCGAGGTTTTGTGGGTTTAAATATTAGGCAAAAATTCAGTTTGCAGCGTAATAATTGTCAAGTAACTAATTGTAACGTACATAAATTTGAACTAGAGACTGTGATAGAATGCCCTACATGGTGGAATAATAATCCTCTATAATTCTTTGGCTATATTGATATATTGATATATTGCGCCGGCTCGAATGACTCGGAGCCGAGCACCACGGGCTCGGAGCTAAGCTCCACGGGCTCCGAGCCGAGCTTCACGGGCTCGGAGCAGGCTCACTGATTAAATCTATTATTCAATCTTAGGATTCAATGATTCATTCTTATGATTCAATGATTTAATCTTAGGATTAAATTATTCAATCTTATGATTCAATGATTCAATCTTAGGATTTAATTATTCAATCTATGATTCAATTATTCAATCTTAGGATTCAATGATTCAAACTACAATTCAATGATTCAATCTATAATTCAATGTTTTAATCTTAGCATTCAATGATTTAATCTTAGGATTCAATTTATGATTCATTGATTCAATCTTAGGATTCAATGATTCAATCTATGATTCAATTATTCAATCTTAGGATTCAATCATTCAATCTTATGATTCAATGATTTAATATTAGGATTCAATGATTCAATTTATGATTTAATGATTCAGTCTTAGGATTCAATGATTCAATTTATGATTGAATGATTCAATCGTAGGATTCAATGATTCAATCTTATGATTCAATGATTCAATATTAGGATTCAATGATTCAATTTATGATTCAATGATTCAATATTAGGATCCAATGATTCAATCTATGATTCAATGATTCAAGCATAGGATTCAATGACTCAAACTACGATTCAATGATTCAGTCTTAGGATTCAATGATTCAATCTATGATTCAATGATTTAATCTTAGGATTCAATTATTCAATTTTAGGATTCAATTTATGATTCAATGATTCAATCTTAGGATAGAATTCAATGATTCAATTTATGATTCAATGATTCAATCTTAGGATAGGATTCAATGATTCAATTTATGATTTAATGATTCAATCTTAGGATTCAATTATTCAATTTATGATTCAATGATTCAATCTTCGGATTCAAAGACTCAAACTATGATTCAATAATTCAATCTTAGCATATATTGAGCCGGCTCGAATAACTCGGAGCCGAGCTCCACGAGCTGGGAGCCAAACTCCACGGGCTCGTAGCCGAGCTTCACGGGCTCGGAGCCGGCTCAATGATTAAATTTATTATTCAATCTTAGGATTCAATGATTCAATCATATGATTCAATGATTCAATTTTAGGGTTCAATTATTCAATCTTATGATTCAATGATTCAATCTTAGGATTCAATGATTCAATCTATGATTCAATGATTTAATCTTAGGATTCAATGATTCAATTTATGATTCAATGATTTAATCTTAAGATTCAATGATTCAAACTACGATTCAATGATTCAACCCTAGGATTCAATTATTCAATCTATGATTCAATGATTTAATCTTAGGATTCAATGATTCAATTTATGATTCAATGATTTAATCTTAGGATTCAATGATTCAACCCTAGGATTCAATGATTCAATGATTTAATCTTAGAATTCAATGATTCAATCTTAGGAGTCAATGATTCAATCTATGATTCAATTATTCAATCTTAGGATTCAATGATTCAAACTTATGATTCATTGATTCAATCTTAGGATTCAATGATTCAATTTATGATTCAATGATTCAATCTTAGGAGGATTCAATGACTCAAACTACGATCCAATGATTCAGTCTTAGGATTCAATGATCAATCTATGAATGATTTAAGCTTAGAATTCAATGATTCAATCTTAGGATTCAATTTATGATTCAATGATTCAAGGTTAGGATTCAATGATTCAAACTACGATTCAATGATTCAATCTTAGGATTCAATTATTAAATCTATGATTCAATTATTCAATCTTAGGATTCAATGATTCAAACTTATGATTCAATGATTCAATCTTAGGATTCAATGAGTCAATCTGATGATTCAATGATTCAATCTTCGAATTCAATGGTTCAATTTATGATTCAATGATTCAATCTTAGGATTCAATGATTCAAACTACGATTTAATTATTCAATCTTAGGATTCAATGATTCAATCTATGATTCAATGATTTAATCTTAGGATTCAATTATTCAATTTTAGGATTCAATTTATGATTCAATGATTCAATCTTAGGATAGAATTCAATGATTCAATTTATGATTCAATGATTCAATCTTAGGATCGGATTCAATGATTCAATTTATGATTTAATGATTCAATCTTAGGATTCAATTATTCAGTCTTAGGATTCAATGATTCAATTTATGATTGAATTATTCAATCGTAGGATTCAATGATTCAATCTTATGATTCAATGATTCAATATTAGGATTCAATGATTCAATTTATGATTCAATGATTCAATATTAGGATCCAATGATTCAATCTATGATTCAATGATTCAAGCATAGGATTCAATGACTCAAACTACGATTCAATGATTCAATCTTAAGATTCAATGATTCAATCTATGATTCAATGATTCAATCTTAGGATTCAATGATTCAATCTTATGATTCAATTATCAATCTTCGAATTCAATGATTCAATTTATGATTCAATGATTCAATCTTAGGATTCAATGATTCAATCTATGATTCAATGATTCAATCTTAGGATTCAATGATTCAAGCTATGATTCAATGATTCAATCTTCGAATTCAATGATTCAATTTATGATTCAATGACTCAATCTTAGCATTCAATGATTCAATCTATGATTCAATTATTTAATCTTAGCATTCAATGATTCAATCTTATGATTCAATGAGTCAATCTTATGATTCAATGATTCAATCTTAGGATTCAATTATTCAATCTATGATTCAATGATTCAATCTTAGGATTCAATTATTCAATCTTATGGTTCAATGTAAGGTACCCTGTATTCATATTTTAATGAAGTTCTTAGTGGTATCATGTGCATATACCGCGGGACGGTGAGAACGGGTATTCAAGTATGGCGGGCGAATTAGAAATGTTAGATATTATTTGATGTAGAGTGAAGAAAATATTGATTAAATTGAACTTATATTAATGGCGACGAGTGGAAAATCGAACTCATGCAATAACTGAACATCGTGGCTAAGTATAGCATTCTTCCAAACGTAAATTAATGGATTTTGTGACCTATTAACATTGAGAAGCAAGTCGACAACTGTTCTTTGACCTTGACAAAACCCGGAAGATACATTGAAGGCATTTCAAGAGTTCATACAAACATTTGAATTAAGATATCACGCTCAACACCCAGATCCACTATAAGTATCGTTAGGTTGAGCTGTAGAGAGATGGAAAGTTGCAAATACAATGGAAAGCAACCCCCAGCCTAAACCAATATTGGACCAATACGACAAAATCCGGGACGAATAGCAAGCCAAGGATGAAGTTGCAAAATACTTGGGGATGTTTTCGTCGAGCGATTTTACACGGAAAAATACAATATTTTTACAAACCCACCGACAACCCTACACTTAAGATAACAGGAAATCACCGAGATAACAGGAAATCCGTCAATAGATTAGGTAAATATTCATATACACACATCAAGAAGAAGGATACGGGGCAAAGGACTGCGAAGAGAATAATAAGCACTCCTATACCAGTGCATGGTCAGGCTCGATGTGCAGTTACGTTTAGCCAAACATCTGTCCCTGTCTTGTGGCATATCATCTCGGGATCGTGTGAACCAATATTAGCGGGGAAGATGGCCTTGCAGCATGGTATCATTGATTTTAACGCCAACCCAGACACATTTCATCCGATCCTTATGATTGATGCTGAGGATAAAGGCAATTTTCAAGAAATGTTGGCGAGGTATCCGCAAAATTTCGATGGTATTGGCAAGCTCCATCATCACAAAGTTAAATTACATGTAGACAAGGAAGTTAAACCAGTGCATGTGCCACCAAGATCATTTCCATATCATCTTAAAGAAAGAGCTCAGAAGGCAATTGAAGATATGATCCAGCAAGACGTCATCGAAGACCACCCTAGGGATAAACCTGCCCCATGGGTTACAAATGCTGTTGATGACGGTAGTCTTCGGGTTACAATGGATGCCCGCAACGTAAACAAAGCTTTATACCCAACAAATCACCCTATCCCACGTCATGAAGATATCAAAACGAAACTATCTGGCTGTCGAGTCTTCTCTAAAATGGATTTTGAATGGGAGCCTGAATCGAGATACTTTACTGTTTTCCACGCCAATGATAAATTGTATTGTTACAAGCGCTTAACCATGGGCCTCAAACCATCGCAAAGATAATTAAATGCTGCGCTCCGCCCTGTATTGGCGCATATTCCCAACGCCCATCTAATCCATGAAGACCTCATCGTAGCTGTTGACCTTTGTATGCAGGCCATTTCGGACGTAGGGATGACACGTACTGAATGCAAAAATATGCCAGTTTGGAAAGAAAGAAATTTCGTTTTGGGGAATGATCTATGGTGAAGATGGTGTTAAACCGGATCCTTCGAAGGTGGAAGCACTTGTACATCTTACTGCCCCGACTAGCAAAGAAGAATTGATCAGTTTCTTATGCATGATGCAATCGAACTCGGCCTTTATTCCCAATTTTGCCCAGAGGTCGGCAAAGCTTCGAGATTTGACGAAAGGGAGAGCAAGATTTGTTTGGAGTAACGAGCATCAGATATGTTTTCAAAGGCTGATTGGCGCATTCCGGAAAGATGTACTTCTTAGATACTTTGACATGAGCAAGCCAACGTATGTATTCGTAGATGCTCACAAGACCGCTCTAGGAGCAATGCTTGCCCAAGGGAACAGTGTGAGAGAAGCCAAACCAGTCGCATTTGCGCCCAGAACGACTAGTCAAGCTGAAGCAAAATATCCTCAGTTCGATTTAGAGGCAATGAGTCTTGATTTTGGTCTAATTAAGAAGGTTTCTCAATTACCTCGTATGAGCACCACAGATGATCTATGTGGTAACGGATCACAAACCTCTTTGTTCTATCTTTAACAAGAACCAGAAAGGTTCAATCCGCACAAATCGTATCAAGCTACGGCATCAGGATGTTAGGTACGAGGTCGTGTACCAAGAAGTAAAGCTTAATCAAGTTCATTTTACGTCAAGGAAAGCCAAACCTTTACAAATGATGACGAACGAGGAGCGAGAAGAAGCAGAAAAGCTCAATAATCTCTTCGAATTGCTAGATCGACGCTCTGCCTACTGAGCTACACGGCCAGACGGATTTAAGACTGGAAATTATGAAATATATACTGAATGTCATAAACATACTCGTTTATATTAATTCAGCATCGAACAATACTAGTTCTGCAAGTGTTATGTTTGTTGTGTAATTGTACACTCCGTAATATGTTAAGATGAAAATGTTCTAGAGTGTGTATTATATAATTTCCATACTCAGCGCAAGCAGAAAGATGTTGTCTGCCGCGGCTGGGTCTCGAAACCCAGCCGCGGCAGAGAACATCTTTCTGCTTGCGCTGAGTCTTGCGCTACCTATTTAGGTAGTCCAAGAACCAAAAAGTGGTACGGTACCAAAAATTGAGCGTAGTGTGAACGGGGCTTAGCTAAATAGGTAGTCTAAGAACCAAAAAAGTGGTACGGGTACCAATTTTATCCGTGCCGTACTAAAAATTGAGCGTAGTGTAAACGGGGCTTGAGTGTATATCCACACCGGGCAAGCTTGAAAAATATGCCTGGCCACGGTGGGAATCGAACCTACGACCTTTGGAGGAACCTACGACCGTCGTAGATTCGATTCCCACGGTAACCAGGCATATTTTTCAAGCTTGCCCGGTGTGGATATACATTCAGAGTAACATCACAAGCATCATATTCATCTGAGTACATTACACCAACACAGAAAAAAATTTTTATGTCTTGTTGTTAAATGTGTATGTTTATTTGAAGCGTTATCCGTTAATGTGCATTTTTCTGTCTCATCGTACACGTAATGCGGTGAATTTATATACTTTGGGTCTTAGGGGCGGACCATTTGACTTTTGAGGGGGGTTGGGGGGGGGGGGGGG